AGAGTGTTTTCAGTCCCAGTCAGCTGTTGTGTTTAGAGTTTCTTCAGTCCCAGTCAGCCATTGTCATGTGTTTAGAGTGTTTTCAGTCCCAGTCAGCCATTGTCATGTGTTTAGAGTGTTTTCAGTCCCAGTCAGCTATTTTGTTTAGAGTGTTTTCAGTCCCAGTCAGCTATTGTGTTTAGGGTGTTTTCAGTCCCAGTCAACCATCGTGATTAGAGTGTTTTCAGTCCCAGTCAGCCATTGTGTTGAGAGTGTATTCAGTTCCATTTACAGCTGTCAATATGTTGAGTTTTAGCATTTAATATTGGCAGGAATTACTACATACACACTTAGTCAGTTAAAGTTTTTAATACTTTTCTACCACCAGATAATATATATAACTTATAGACATTTAAATCACGGATTACAAATACTGAATTTGCTGTCAATATCCTACCTACCACAAGCATACAACAAGCAAACATTATCAATATTTTCCATCAAAGAAACAAACACACCTCCTGTTATCATTGCTCATTTTGATGTGTTTATTGCATGCAGTTATGAAAAGACAAGCACATGCATGAGACACTCTAGGAACTGGTGGGAGCCCTGGTTCAAGCTTGTTAGTGTTGTCCTTCCCTTTCTCTCATCATTCCATGTGTTCTTCATCAATTTTTGTGTTGTCTCCTTGTCATTTGGGAGTTAGCTCCCCTTGTGGTGGTCATTTACACAGCCAATCACATAGAAGATTATGTTATATATAGAAGTCTTTAATCCTTTCACCACTGAAGACCATAATGAACTCATCCAGATCAAAGCATGAACGTGTTTACTAAAGGTACATAGGGGTGAAAGGGTTAGAATGTGTTGGTACTGTAATATGTGCCTGATTCCTGATGAGAGTCTTTGACTAGCACCCTAGAATAGAGGAAGTTAGTGTCAGGCCATAAGTTATCATATCATATTTTCAGGGGCACAACCAGTCATGTGGACACATACAGATGTTCAAACATCTATCAATTATCCTAGTAATTCCGTGTCTTTTATAGAAAACTGAAATGTAAAATTTTGAAGAAAATTCAATTAGCCATGTTCACTGTTCTATATATATATATGAAGGTTTTGTGACTAACATGAAGGTCATAGGCCATTGTGAAGGTCAAATATGAATAAAATTTGTAATATAGATCATTGATCAATCTTCGTTGATTGAGTGTGGTGACTATGTGACCTTAATCATTATCGGTATCCTAAGAAGCTCAGACAATATATCAAGCTGTTTGTTATTTAATACTATTTTACAAACACTTTGTTCTGTTTGTTTCAGAATTCTCACGAAAAGACATCAAAATCTAACAACTCTGAAAACAAAAAAGTCTCTATAAAATGCTCACCTTGGAAACATGGTTTTGTCCATTTCTTAAGAAAAAAAAGGCAAGGTCAAGGTTACAGAGCTGGTAGTCATAACAACAATGACTCAATTAACTCTAACTATCACTCGTCCAACTCGGGGACGACTAACACACGGAACGGCCACACCCGCACCTCATACAGCAAACCTCTTCTCACCGCCCAGGAGGAAAACAGTGCAGATATGGAAACGCAGTTCAACTCCTCTCCTCTTCCCACATTTTCTGGTGAGTATCCTTGGTAATGGTCATGTGACATGTCTCCTTGGTAATGGTCATGTGACATGTCTCCATGGTAATGGTCATATGACATGTCTCCGTGGAAACAGTCATGTTGCATGTCTCCGTGGTAATGGTCATGTGACATGTGTCCTTGGTAATGGTTCTATGAAATGTCTCCTTGGTAATGGTCATGTGACATGTCTCTTTGGTAATGGTCATATGACATGTCTCCGTGGAAACAGTCATGTTGCATGTTTCCGTGGTAACGGTCATGTGACATGTGTCCTTGGTAATGGTTTTATGAAATGTCTCCTTGGTAATGGTCATGTGACATGTCTTCTTGGTAATGGTCATGTGACATGTCTCCAAGGAAACAGTCATGTTGCATGTCTCTGTGGTAATGGTCATGTGACATGTCTCCAAGGAAACAGTCATGTTGCATGTCTCCATGGTAATGGTCGTGTGACATATCTCTGTGGTAAAGGTCATGTGACATGTCTCTATGGTAATGGTCATGTGACATGTCTCCTTGCTACGTCATGTTGCATGTCTTTGTGGTAACGGTAATGTAAAATGTCTCCATGGAATAATCATGTGACATGTCTACTAGGTACGATGTACAAGTATGAATCAAGATTTTTTATTTTCTTCTTTTGCCAAAAACATTGTAAAAAAATACCTAGTGAAAAAAACACCAGTTTTATTATAGGTTGTTAGATGGGAGAGAGTGGAATTGCAAACACATACTTGATATGCAGAACAAAACCTTTGGTTATAAAAGAGATCTTTATATATATATGAGTATAGAGGAGAGGGAATACTCAGGCTCAATTTTCATTTGTCAACAGTTTTAGAATTCAAGTTTTTTTTTATAGTTTCAGATCTCAGATCAGACTTCATTTTCAAACCTCATGTCTGATTTCAGTTACAGATCCTAGGTCTGATTTCAGTTACAGACCTCAGGTCTGATTTCAGCTACAGATCTCAGGTCTGATTTCAGCTACAGACCTCAGGTCTGATTTCAGTTACAGATCTCAGGTCCGATTTCAGCTACAGATCTCAGGTCTGATTTCAGCTACAGACCTCAGGTCTGATTCCAGTTACAGACCTCAGGTCTGATTTCAGTTACAGACCTCAGGTCTGATTTCAGTTACAGACCTCAGGTCTGATTTCAGTTACAGACCTCAGGTCTGATTTCAGTTACAGACCTCAGGTCTGATTTCAGTTATAGATCTCAGGTCTGATTTCAGTTACAGACCGCAGGTCTGATTTCAGTTACAGATCTCAGGTCTGATTTCAGCTACAGATCTCAGGTCTGATTTCAGCTACAGACCTCAGGTCTGATTCCAGTTACAGATCTCAGGTCTGATTTCAGTTACAGACCTCAGGTCTGATTTCAGTTACAGATCTCAGGTCTGATTTCAGCTACAGACCTCAGGTCTGATTCCAGTTACAGATCTCAGGTCTGATTTCAGTTACAGATCTCAGGTCTGATTTCAGTTTCAGATCTTAGGTATGATTTCAGTTTCAGATCTTAGGTCTGGCTTTGTTGTAACCTACAATGATTTATATACATTTGTACTCTAAATAATAATGTTTATACTGTACTATAAATTATCCCTTACATCTTTCGTGATGCATTTTATATTTATTCTGTTAGTTACAGAACTGTCTTGACTATAATTAATTTTCATATAGGTAAAACCTGCAGGTATTGATTGTTATGACAAGAGGAAACAGCGTAATTTTCTCACACAAACTAATGACGTGACAATCAGTACCTGCTCACAAGAGAAGATAACTCTGCAATACGAAAAGACAGAATAGTTGAGGCTTCATCAGAACAGTTTTACAATAGTTTAGACACTTAACATACTTTTTTAGGGGTTCACATTTATCTTGTGATGTAATGGACTGTGAATGAGCTCAAGCCAAGGGCAGATAAACAACAGTTAACAATAGATCATTATGACGTCACAGATATTATAACGTCATCAAGATTAGTGGTGTTGGTATATGTGTGATACATCGCTGATATGATTTATATTAAATATAACTGTGTATGTACTACATCGTTGATATAACTTTTAATTAAAGGCTTTACATTTCAAGGCTGATGTAAGTACATGTGGTAGAATGTAAGTGGTAAATCATTTATAAAGAACACAAGTCAATAACCAGACCTTAGTCAATCTCAGATATTCATTCTGAACCCAACAAAAACATTAAGGAAGACGACTAAATATAATGATAAATGCAAATCATTGATTCGAAAGATTGTCTCGTCACATTGATCCGGGTCTGTTTATTTTCTATGTCAAGGTCATACACAAACTATTTATTTTTTTAATCATATTTGTTGCTTACACACTAAGTTGCATATTTATTTTGTTTCTTGTGGCTTTGCCATTGCAAGGTTAGAGGTCATGCTGGTGCTGTTAAACCTTATGATTTATTTTCCCCCTGTTTACATGCTGAGCTTTNAACACCACCACCCCTCCCTCCCTCCCCCACCCTACACAAAAATCTGTCCAAGACAATAATGAAAAAAAATAATGCTTTATATCACAATAGCATTCACCTCCTCTTCCAAGACAAAAATGACTTAAATATATTGGAGACCTTTGACACATCAACTGATTGTTGGATGAAGTTACCGATAACAAATTGTAGCAGAAATGAACAGAATCAAACCCAGGGGACAATTAGCTTAAATGTTAGATCATTTATCTAAAATGTTGGGAGTTAGATCATTTATCTAAAATTTTGGGAGTACCATACAAATGTGCTTAGTTTGTACACTCTAATGTAAAACTCTCAAGTAAAAATTTCAAGCTGACATTGCTTTAAAAGATAATCTGCTGTATTTTACACATATAATTCACCTTTAGTACCTCATATATTCCTTGTCTGTCCTTCGTACCTCATACATTCCTTGTCTGTCCATAGTACCTCATACATTCCTTGTCTGTCCATAGTACCTCATACATCGCCTGTCTGTCCTTAGTACCTCATATATTCTTTGTCTGTCCAAAGTTTTTCATACATTCCTTGTCTGTCCATAGTACTTCATACATTCCTTGTCTGACTTTAGTACCTCATACATTTCTTGTCTGTCCTTAGTACCTCATATATTCCTTGTCTGTCCATAGTACCTCATACATTTCTTTTCTGTCCTTAGTACCTCATATATTCCTTGTTTGTCCATAGTACCTCATACATTCCTTGTCTGTCCTTAGTACTTCATACATTTCTTGTCTGTCCATAGTACCTCATACATTCCTTGTCTGTCCATAGTACCTCATACATCACCTGTCTGTCCTTAGTACCTCACACATCACCTGTCTGTCCTTAGTACCTCATACATTTCTCATAGTCTGCTTATAGTTGAACTCAAGGCAAACTTTCAGGGATTAAGTAGGCTGTTTTTCCTTTTAAAGAATGAAACGATCATTTAATGTATCAAAGGTCCCAGACAGTCCAGACAGTATTCAGAAAACTATGATACTGATCATTAGTTTATGAAAACTTTCCCTAAGTAAAACTAATTACCAAAGTTTAGATCTGGATTCAGTTGTCATCTGATTGACTCTTCATGTGACAGACTTCAAATTGACCCCACACAAAGGTAACCCCCAAAGCACCAGTTGACCTGTGACCTGTGAGTGAGTAGAGCTTAGCACCGCCCCCTCTGTTACAGATGCATTAGAAGTGCGCTCGTCCCCTGTACCAGGGCACACCCCCACCCCCAGCACCACTAAAGTGTTTGACTTCACGGTGATCACATCGGAGTCGCCCCAGGCCAAGTCCTGCCTGCTGAGCTGGCGAGGCTGTCGTGAGTGTTTCTCTGACGACCAGCTGTCCGAGGACGGGGTAGGTTGTGATGGTTGCTAAAGTCACCAGGATGACACAATGTCCTAGCAAACTCCAAGCATGTTAACAATTCCCTGAAGATGTGGAGTGTCAGGTCCTAGCCACATGGATCGGGACAGGAATGTTGGAAGCCTGGGTTCACACAGTCTCAATACCAGAGACAAAACATCGAATTGAAGAATTATTGTTCATCTCAATTTTTTGGCATTTAATCAGGATCCCAGTGATAGTCCTGGTGTTTGTGTACCCAGACTTCCAGTGACAGTCTGGGTGGTTGTGTACCCAGACTTCCAGTAATATTCCTGGTGGTTGTGTACCCAGACTCCCAATGATTGTCCTGGTGGTTGTGTACCAAGACTTCCAGTAATATTCCTGGTGGTTGTGTACCCAGACTCCGGGTGATAGTCCTGGTGGTTGTGTATCAAGACTTCCAGTAATATTCCAGGTGGTTGTGTACCCAGACTCCCAGTGATAGTCCTGGAGGTTGTGTACCCAGACTCCCAGTGATAGTCCTGGTTGCTGGGAACCCAGACTCCCCATGATAGTCCTGGTGGTTGTGTACCCAGACCTGCAGTGATAATCCAGGTGGTTGTGTAGCCAGACTTCCAGTGATAGTCCTGGTGGCTGTGTACCCAGACTCCCAGTGATAGTTCTGGTGGTTGTGTACATGGACTCCCAGTGATAGTCCTGGTTGTTGTGTACCAAGACATCCAGTAATAGTCCTGGTGGTTGTGTACCCAGACTCCCAGTGATAGTCCTGGTGGTTGTGTACCCAGAACTCCAGTGATAGTCCTGGTGGTTGTGTACTCAGACTACCATTGATAGGCCTGGTGGTTTATGTACCCATACTTTCAGTGATAGTCCTGGAAGTTGTGTACCAAGACATCCAGTAATAGTCCTGGTGGCTGTGTACCAAGACCTCCAGTGATAGTCCTGGTGGTTGTGTACCCAATCTCCCAGTGATAGTCCTGGTGACTGTGTACCCATACTCCCAGTGATAGTCCTGGTGGTTGTATACCCAGACTCCCAGTGATAGTACTGGTAGTTGTGTACCCAGACCTCCAGTGATAATCTGGTAGGTTGTGTACCCAGACTCCCAGTGATAGTCCTGGTTGTTATGTACCCAGACCTCCAGTGATAATCCGGGTGGTTGTGTACCCAGACTCCCAGTGATAGTCCTGGTGGTTGTGTACCCAGACTCCCAGTAATAGTCCTGGTGGCTGTGTACCCAGACTCCCAGTGATAGTCCTGGTGGCTGTGTACCCAGACTCCCAGTGATAGTCCTGGTGGCTGTGTACCAAGACTCCCAGTGATAGTCCTGGTGGCTGTGTACCCAGACTCCCAGTGATAGTACTGGTAGTTGTGCACCCAGACTTCTAGTGATAGTCCTGGTGGTTGTGTACCCAGACTCCCAGTGATAGCACTGGTGGCTGTGTACCCAGACTTCCAGTGATAGTCCTGGTGGTTGTGTACCCAGACCTCCAGTGATAGTCCTGGTGGTTGTGTACCCAGACTCCCCGTAATAGTCCTTGTGGCTGTGTACCCAGGCTTCCAGTGATAGTACTGGTAGTTGTGTACAAAACTGTCAGTGATAGTCCTGGTGGTTGTGTACCCAGACTCCCAGTGATAGTCCTGGTGGTTGTGTACCCAGACCTGCATTGATAATCCGGGTGGTTGTGTACCAAGACTTTCAGTGATAGTCCTGGTGGTTGTGTACACGGATAGTCCTGGTGGTTGTGTACCCAATCTCCCAGTGAGAGTCCTGGTGGCTGTGTACCCAGACTTCCAGTGATAATCCTTTTGGCTTTGTACCCAGACTTCCAGTGATAGGCCTGGTGGTTGTGTTCCCAGAATTCCATTGATAGTCCTGGTGGCTGTGTACACAGACTTCCAGTGATAGTACTGGTGGCTTTGTACCCAGTCTCCCCGTGATAGTACTGGTAGTTGTGTACCTAGTCCTGGTGGTTGTGTACCCAATCTCCCAGTGAGAGTCCTGGTGGCTGTGTACCCAGCCTACCAGTGATAGTCCGGGTGGTTGTGTACCCAGTCTCCCAGGGATAGTCCTGGTGGCTGTGTAACCAGATTCCCAGAGATAGTTCTGGTGGCTGTGTACCCAGCTTCCCAGTAGACTCCCAGTGATAGTCCTGGTGGTTGAGTGCCCAGACTTCCAGTGATAGTCCTGGTGACTGTGTACCCAGACTCCCAAAATTGTCCTGGTGGTTGTGTACCCAGACATCCAGTGATAGTCCTGGTGACTGTGTACCCAGACTCCTAAAATTGTCCTGGTGGTTGTGTACCCAGATCCCTAGTGATAGTCCTGGTGGTTGTGTACCAAGACTCCCAGTGATAGTACTGGTAGTTGTGCACCCAGACTTCTAGTGATAGTCCTGGTGACTGTGTACCCAGACTCCTAAAATTGTCCTGGTGGTTGTGTACCCAGACCTCCAGTGATAGTTCTGGTGGTTGTGTACCCAGACTCCCATTGATAGTCCTGGTGGCAGTGTACCCAGACTTCCAGTGATAGGCCTGGTGGTTGTGTTCCCAGAATTCCATTGATAGTCCTGGTGGCTGTGTACACAGACTTCCAGTGATAGTACTGGTAGTCCTGGTTGCTGGGTGCCCAGACTCCCCATGATAGTCCTGGTGGTTGTGTACACGGATTCCCAGTGATAATCCTGGTTGTTGTGTACCATAGACATCCAGTGATAGTCCTGGTGGTTGTGTACCCAGACCTCCAGTGATAATCCGGGTGGTTGTGTACCCAGACTCCCATTGATAGTCCTGGTGGCTGTGTACTTAGACTTCCAGTGATAGTCCTGGTCACTGTGTCCCCAGACTCACAATGGTACCCAGACCTCCAGTGATAATCCAGGTGGTTGTGTAGCCAGACTTCCAGTGATAGTACTGGTAGTCCTGGTTGCTGGGTGCCCAGACTCCCCATGATAGTCCTGGTGGTTGTGTACCAAGACTCCCAGTGATAGTCCTGGTGGCTGTGTCCCCAGACTTCCAGTGATAGTACTAGTGGCTTTGTACCCAGTCTCCCAGAGACCTGCATTGATAATCCGGGTGGTTGAGTACCAAGACTTTCAGTGATAGTCCTGGTGGCTGTGTACTTAGACTTCCAGTGATAGTCCTGGTGGTTGGGTACCCAGACCTGCATTGATAATCCGGGTGGTTGAGTACCAAGACTTTCAGTGATAGTCCTGCTGGTTGTGTACACGGATTCCCAGTGATAATCCTGGTTGTTGTGTACCATAGACATCCAGTGATAGTCCTGGTGACTGTGTACCCAGACTCCCAATGCTTGTCCTTGTGGTTGTGTACCCAGACTCCCAGTGATAGTCATGGTGGTTGTGTACCCAGTCTCCCAGTGATAGTCCTGGTGGCTGTGTAACCAGATTCCCAGTGATAGTTCTGGTGGCTGTGTACCCAGATTCCCAGTGATAATCCGGGTGGTTGTGTACCCAGACTCCCAGTGATAGTCCTGGTTGATGTGTACCCAGACCTCCAGTGACAGTCCAGATGGTTGTGTACCCAGACTTCTTGTGATAGTCCTGGTGGCTGTGTCTACATACCTCCAGAGACAGTCCGGGTGGTTGTGTACCCAGACTTCCAGTGATAGTCCTGATGGTTGTGTACCCAGTCTCCCTGTGATAGTCCTGATGGTTGTGTACCCAGACTCCCAGTGATAGTCCTGGTGGTTGTGTACCCAGTCTCCCAGTGATAGTCCTGGTGGTTGTGTACCCAGATTCCCAGTGATAGTTCTGGTGGCTGTGTACCCAGACTTCCAGTGCTAGTCCTGGTGTTTGTGTACCCAGACTTCCAGTGATAATCCTTTTGGCTTTGTACCCAGACTTCCAGTGATAGTCCTGGTGACTGTGTACCCAGACTCCCAATGATTGTCCTTGTGGTTGTGTACCCAGACTCCCAGTGATAGTCCTGGTGACTGTGTACCCAGACTTCCAGTGATAGTACTGGTGGTTGTGTACCCAGGCCTGCAGTGATAATCTGGGTGGTTGTGTACACGGTTGTGTACTCAGACTTCCAGACATAGTCCTTGTGGTTGTGTAATCCGACACCCAGTGAGTGTCCTGATGGTTGTGTACCCTGACTTCAGGTGATAGTCCAACTGGTTGTGTACCCAGACTTCCAGTGATAGTCCTGGTGACTGTGTACCCAGACTCCCAAAATTGTCCTGGTGGTTGTGTACCCAGATTTCCAGTGATAGTCATGGTGGTTGTGTACCCAGACTTCTAGTGATAGTCCTGGTGACTGTGTACCCAGACTCCCAGTGATAGGCCTGGTGGTTGTGTTCCCAGAATTCCATTGATAGTCCTGGTGGCTGTGTACCCAGACTTCCAGTGATAGTCCTGGTGGTTGTGTACCCAGACTTCCAGTGAAAGTCCTGGTTGTTGTGTACCCAGACTTCCAGTGATAGTCCTGGTGGCTTTGTACCCAGTCTCCCAGTGATAGTACTGGTAGTTGTGTATCCAGTCTCCCAGTGATAGGCCTGGTGGTTGTGTACCCATAGTCCCATTGAGAGTCCTGGTGGCTGTGTACCCAGACTTCCAGTGATAGTACTGGTGGCTTTGTACCCAGTCTCCCAGTGATAGTACTGGTAGTTGTGTACCCAGTCTCCCAGTGATAGTCCTGGTGGTTGTGTACCCAGACTTCTAGTGATAGTCCTGGTGACTGTGTACCCAGACTCCCAGTGATAGGCCTGGTGGTTGTGTACCCAGACTCCCATTGATAGTCCTGGTGGCTGTGTACCCAGACTTCCAGTGATAGTCCTGGTGGTTGTGTACCCAGACTTCCAGTGATAGTCCTGGTGGTTGTGTACCCAGACTTCCAGTGATAGTCCTGGTGGTTGTGTACCCAGACTTCCAGTGATAGTCCTGGTGGTTGTGTACCCAGACTTCCAGTGATAGTCCTGGTGGTTGTGTACCCAGACTTCCAGTGATAGTCCTGGTGGTTGTGTACCCAGACTTCCAGTGATAGTCCTGGTGGTTGTGTACCCAGACTTCCAGTGATAGTCCTGGTGGTTGTGTACCCAGACTTCCAGTGATAGTCCTGGTGGTTGTGTACCCAGACTTCCAGTGATAGTCCTGGTGGTTGTGTACCCAGACTTCCAGTGATAGTCCTGGTGGTTGTGTACCCAGACTTCCAGTGATAGTCCTGGTGGTTGTGTACCCAGACTTCCAGTGATAGTCCTGGTGGTTGTGTACCCAGACTTCCAGTGATAGTCCTGGTGGTTGTGTACCCAGACTTCCAGTGATAGTCCTGGTGGTTGTGTACCCAGACTTCCAGTGATAGTCCTGGTGGTTGTGTACCCAGACTTCCAGTGATAGTCCTGGTGGTTGTGTACCCAGACCCCCAGTGATAGTCCTGGTGGTTGTGTACCCAGACTTCCAGTGATAGTCCTGGTGGTTGTGTACCCAGACCTCCAGTGATAGTCCTGGTGGTTGTGTACCCAGACTTCCAGTGATAGTCCTGGTGGTTGTGTACCCAGACCTCCAGTGATAGTCCTGGTGGTTGTGTACCCAGACTTCCAGTGATAGTCCTGGTGGTTGTGTACCCAGACCTCCAGTGATAGTCCTGGTGGTTGTGTACCCAGACTTCCAGTGATAGTCCTGGTGGTTGTGTACCCAGACCTCCAGTGATAGTCCTGGTGGTTGTGTACCCAGACTTCCAGTGATAGTCCTGGTGGTTGTGTACCCAGACCTCCAGTGATAGTCCTGGTGGTTGTGTACCCAGACTTCCAGTGATAGTCCTGGTGGTTGTGTACCCAGACCTCCAGTGATAGTCCTGGTGGTTGTGTACCCAGACTTCCAGTGATAGTCCTGGTGGTTGTGTACCCAGACCTCCAGTGATAGTCCTGGTGGTTGTGTACCCAGACTTCCAGTGATAGTCCTGGTGGTTGTGTACCCAGACCTCCAGTGATAGTCCTGGTGGTTGTGTACCCAGACTTCCAGTGATAGTCCTGGTGGTTGTGTACCCAGACCTCCAGTGATAGTCCTGGTGGTTGTGTACCCAGACTTCCAGTGATAGTCCTGGTGGTTGTGTACCCAGACCTCCAGTGATAGTCCTGGTGGTTGTGTACCCAGACTTCCAGTGATAGTCCTGGTGGTTGTGTACCCAGACCTCCAGTGATAGTCCTGGTGGTTGTGTACCCAGACTTCCAGTGATAGTCCTGGTGGTTGTGTACCCAGACCTCCAGTGATAGTCCTGGTGGTTGTGTACCCAGACTTCCAGTGATAGTCCTGGTGGTTGTGTACCCAGACCTCCAGTGATAGTCCTGGTGGTTGTGTACCCAGACTTCCAGTGATAGTCCTGGTGGTTGTGTACCCAGACCTCCAGTGATAGTCCTGGTGGTTGTGTACCCAGACTTCCAGTGATAGTCCTGGTGGTTGTGTACCCAGACCTCCAGTGATAGTCCTGGTGGTTGTGTACCCAGACTTCCAGTGATAGTCCTGGTGGTTGTGTACCCAGACCTCCAGTGATAGTCCTGGTGGTTGTGTACCCAGACTTCCAGTGATAGTCCTGGTGGTTGTGTACCCAGACCTCCAGTGATAGTCCTGGTGGTTGTGTACCCAGACTTCCAGTGATAGTCCTGGTGGTTGTGTACCCAGACCTCCAGTGATAGTCCTGGTGGTTGTGTACCCAGACTTTCAGTGATAGTCCTGGTGGTTGTGTACCCAGACTCCCAGTGATAGTCCTCGTGGTTGTGTATCCAGACTTCCAGTGATAATCCTGGTGGTTGTGTACCCAGACTCCCAGTGATAATCCTGGTGGCTTTTTACCCAGACTTCCAGTGATAGTCCTTGTGGCTTTGTACCCAGACTTCCAGTGATGATCCTTGTGGCTTTGTACCCAGACTTCCAGTGATAGTCCTGGTGGCTTTGTACTATGACATTCATTTTTAAATCCTGGTGGCTGTCCCATATATACTGCTGGTCATTAATGAGGTCAATATGCTGCTGGCGTGAGTTTTGGCTTCCAACTGCTTTGGTTTTCCCGAATGGGTTTGTAGTCTTATAGAACACAGACCTTTACATATTGTGTTTGTTAACTTTGTTTGTTCTTTTTTAAGTAATTCAATATTATTCTCCACTCTTTATCATCTCCCCCGAGGAGGAATTAGGATAAGACTAACTTTTTGAAATATATTGTTTATATTCTAGTGTGTAAATATCCCCTTCTGGTGAAATCTGATTTAGCTGACATCTGTGTACTAAATAACCTAACTTAACTGATACCTGTCTCTACAACAGTAAAACCTGACTTTGCTGACATCTGTCTATTACAGAAATCTGACCTAGCTGACATCTGTCTATTACAGAAACCTGACCTAGCTGACTTTTGTCTATTATAGAACCCTGACCTAGCTGACATTTGTTTATTACTGAAATCTGATCTAGCTGACATCTGTGTATTAAAAACCCTAACTTAACTGATACCTGTCTCTACAACAGTAAAAACGGACTTACTTGACACCTGCTCATTACAGGAACCTGACCTACCTAACATCTGTCTATTACAGAAACCTGACCTAGCTGACATCTGTCTATTACAGAAACCTGACCAAGCTGACATATGTCTGTTACAGAAACCTAACTAAGCTTACATCTGTTTATTACAGAAATCTGACCTAGCTGACATCTGTGTATTAAAAAACCTAACTTAACTGATACCTGTCTCTACAATAGTAAAACCTGACTTTGCTGACATCTGTCTATTACAGAAACCTGACCTTGCTGACATCTGTCTATTAGAGAAACCTGACTGAGCTGACATCTTTCTTTTACAATACCTGACTTAACTGACACCTGTCTGTTACATCAAAACCGGACTTACTTGACACCTGCTCATTACAGAAACCTGACATAGCTGACATCTTTCTTTTACAAAAACCTGACTATGGTAAGCTAACATGTCTATTATAACAAATTTGATGTAGCTGTCATCTGTTTATTACAGAAACCCTACTAAGCTGATATCTGTTTATTACAAAATCTGACCTAGCTGACACCTGCTTCCTACAGAAACCTGACTTAGCTGACACCTCTATGTTACAGCAAAATCTGACTTAACCGACATCTGTATTACAGAAACCTGACTTATCTGACACCATCAATTGTCTGTCGTCCATAAACCTTTTACATTTTTAGCTCACCTGGACCTGTGGTGCGACATCCATCGGCGTCAACTTTTTCTGTAAAAGACTTCTTCTCAATAACCAATTAGCCTAGGGTAATTCAATTTGGCAAAAAGCATACATGCTGGGATGAAGGGCTACCAAGTTCATTCAAATGATTGACCTCGCCCACTTTCAAGGTCACTGGGGTCAAATATGTTGAAATTTTTTCACACACGTGTACAATATTTCTCTTTATAGGGTAGTTTTAGTTTCTGATCAAAGAACATCAATCTAGTAAAGAAAGGTTGTTTGTATAAAAGTCGAAATCCCCTGTTCTGTCAGTTGGACCAATGCAAGCACTGGGACCTTGAAGCAATCTAGAATCAAAGTTGAAGTTTTCAGTGAAGGTTCCAGGTATCATTTGCTGGTATGTTTATTGCACTGTCTCAATGTGGACAGTTTTCCAATTAAAAGCACTGATTATTATGTCAACAAATATATTTGGACTGTAAGACTCTTTCATGATCTCAGAGCCTTGGGCCTTATAAATAATAATGACTTAGTTGTCAATGACCTAATGGTGTGTGTGTTTCTATAGTATATGTACTTATTGTGTGTTTCAGGGCAGTGAATGCACTTTTCGGTTTGAGCAGAGTGTTGACGTTGCTATAAAAACCACTATGGCAATAAAGAGTGTCCAAGATGCCAAAAATTACTCCGCTTACAAGTATGCTCACACGTGACGGAGATACCTCACAGTCGCTGACTGGTCGGTACTACCAAGGACGCACCACTGACTGACCAGTAGACGAATGACCCAATATTTGTTAACTGGTCAGTCAGCTCAGGACAAAAAGGAAAGAAGAGGACAACGTACTACTGACCAGTCAGTGGGACCCCTGAAATTCTCCTATAAGAGTCTGCCAGCACAGACTTTGTGGTGGTTAAACCAAAACATATATGTGACACTGTTGTTGATTGGTCAGTAACCCTAACCATATATATAACACTATTGTTGAATGGTCAGTTACATTTCATATTTGCAGTGCAATTTTGGTAGAAAAACATGGTGTTGACACAACATGAAATATACAAGGCCACCATGTTGTCAGCAACATGGCGGAACAGACGTTACTGTGAGAACAAGTGGTGTTAGAGTTAATACAGAAACTGACATATGCAGCGATATTGATTGACCTTGAGATCTATGACCTTGACCTTGTTATTTTGATTCATCGTTCTTTCATTCTGTATAGATACCCATTTTAATAGTTCAATTGAGGTTGTATAATTGAATGAAGGAGATTTTATGAAAATTTGAAAATGGTCCATGCTCATTGAAAATCCCATATGTACTCATTATTGCTCATTGTACATGAAATATTTTTCAATTTTTCCACATATTACTTGTCTGTGATTATTTGAAAGCAAACAAATTGAGATTTGATTTATTCCAGTAATTTTTTCGCTCTATAGATGACCCCGGCCAGTTTATGCATTGTTTCTCCCTTGTTGATGCCTATTACTTGCCAGTGTATGCAGAGGTGATGAGATTTCACTTTCACAGATAAGATCAGGAGCGTTAGTCTTCACTCCCAGAGGTCACCTTGTGGGTCAGTGCTCCGAATGTTGGTTGGTGATTGGCTGTTGCACTCCATAGTTACAAACAGGACTGATCAATATATCCCAACGGGTAATACAAATAAGTCTTATGATATATCCTACCTTTAGCTTGTCCTTGTAAAGTCACCAACTTTGAAACAAAAACTTTCATATCATTGTAGGGTGATAAAATACCCCATTTCTGTTTCTCAAAACATGTGACAGAGGGTTCAATTTTTATTTCTCTCAGGGGTTAAACTTATACTTGCTTTCACGATGGTGACTGGATGTAATTCATGTTTCGCAAAAGGGTTACAGGTTACTGTACCCGTAAAGGGTAAATTGAATTCCTCAAGTACAGTCTGCCCAAAGGAGACTCGAGTGATTAGTTTGTTCCTAACAAACTGATGGTTGAAAGCTAGATAGGTAGTATCTATTCGAAAGGTCAATGATCTTGAATGACCATCCACAGCACACCTCTTTTAAAAAGCAATTGTATCCAGGAACCAATCAAATGTTTAGGAAAATGTGTAATTCCTGCCTTCAGCTAATCACATATCTTGAAAAGGGTGTTATACCTCTGATCTGCGACAGCCAATCAGATGTCTGGGAATGCGGTTAATAGTTGGAGTATAACTTCTAATTGGTTGATAAGGTTTTTGTTTAATAGGAATATTTACTGGCACAGATCTGATGGTCAAGGGCTCACACACAGTATGGTCAAAGTTGAGGTGGTCAACTAATCACAGGGTAGGGTCAATGTTTTAAGGTCGTCAGCAGAGGTCCTGTTTAAATTATTCACCCCTGAAACTTCATAATGAACTATTCCACCCTTTGAATTGGAAGGGTTCAAATGTGTTTTCAGGGGTGAATGAGTTATTAAATGAAACGATCTTGCAACATGGTACAGTTGTTGCAGTATTATGAAAAATATATAGTTGGGTTTTATGATTGAAAACAAACCTTTCTGGTGAAATAGCTCAGAGTGAAGGAAATTGTATGAAATTTGACCATTGACTGACAACCAGTATTTTGTTTTAATATCTATCTTTTTTTATATGAGATAAAATAATTACCAGTATGTTACTAAAAGATAACATACCTCTTCCTCAAACTATATTGAGATCAATGTTTAATAAAACAACAATGAAAAATATATGGTCTGGAAACTTCGTAATACAGCCAGCGAGACAGTATAATAAGAGGTTTCGTATAGGAAAATGGAAACATTGACTAACGGGATAAATAAGGCTTGTCTGTTCCTTCAAACATTGCCCGCTGATACAAGGTTTGACCACTGTCACAAGGGTTGACCGCTGACACAAGGTTTGACCTTTGTTACAAGGGTTGACCACTGATGCAAGGTTTGACCTTTGTTACAAGGTTTGACCTTTGTTACAAGGTTTGACCACTGATACAAGGTTTGACCTTTGTTACAAGGATTGACCACTGATACAAGTGTTGACAATTGTTACAAGGGTTGATCATTGATACAAGGTTTGACCTTTGTTACAAGGGTTGACCACTGTTACAAGTGTTGACCTTTGTTACAAGGATTGACCACTGATACAAGGGTTGACCACTGATACAAGGTTTGACCTTTGTTACAAGGATTGACCACTGATACAAGGTTTGACCTTTGTTACAAGTGTTGACCACTGATACAAGGTTTGACTTTTGTTACAAGGATTGACCACTGTTACATGGTTTGACCACTGATACAAGGGTTGACCACTGATACAAGGGTTGACCACTGATACAAGTGTTGACCACTGATACAAGTGTTGACCACTGATACAAGGGTTGACCACTGTTACAAGGATTGACCACTGATACAAGGTTTGACCACTGATGCCAGGGTTGACCACTGATACAAGTGTTGACCACTCATGCCAGTGTTGACCACTGATACAAGTGTTGACAACTGATCTTTGTCGCAAAGTTCTGACCTAACTTTTTATATTACCTCTCACACAGTTATTCTATTTTATCTTTCTAAAACACAATCCAGTTACCTCCCTTTACAAAGTGAAATACTTCCCCAAACGAACATTTTTGCTATTTGTATAACTTTTCATTTGGATGTGATCCTACTTTTTTGTTGTTGCTAGGTAACGATATAAAATATTAAGTATCTAAGTGACACGTATTTTGAGATTGATTGATATATATAAATGTGTATAATATTGCGTATTGAGTATATTACAAATCAAAAACCAGGCGGAGCCATTACACATGTATGTTAGTAGTAAGAAATCTTTTATGTACAAAATTGTAAACTTTATTTCTATACTGCATACCATTCCATAGTTACCATATAGTACCATGTTACTCCTGTCGTTACACCTAGTAACCTTTCACTAATTATCACCATCTCCATGGCAACCAATCTTGACCTTTCAACTTAAGACTGGAACCGGTATGATTTTGTATCTTTGTTGAAGCGTTTGTGCTGTTAACATGACGGTATGGAATGCAATGTTGTTATTTGCTAATTAGTATTACAAATTCTTCCAGGAATGAAAGTTGAGTATAAAATAACCTTTTATGATGATAATAGAAAGGTGACACCTGTTAAACTGATTATTGTATAGACAAATAATGACATTGAAAGACTTGGTTTGTGCCCTAATATCTTGGTTGTTGAGTAGCTGTTGAGACTGTTGTAAGTTCTATTATACAAGCTAAGCTACACTGGTGTTTATATTTGTTATACATTGTATGTATTTTGATACGCATTGATTAAGACTGCGATGTAGAGTTGTGGATTGTTTTCACAAAAAAAATTATACACAATTGTTTTTAGATGCATAATTATGAAAATGATTGCTAGAAAATCAGGGTTTGTTTAAGTTTTTGTTTTGTTTCTAATTTTAAAACATATTCAAATTTTTATTTGATAAAAAATATTGAGATAACTGCTACAATATCAGTATTTTTATTAGGTAGGGGGGAAAATCAGAAGAATTTTAAAATTGTTGATGAATGAATAAAAATCTGGACTATTGGAAAACAGATCAATGTCAGATTAGTGTTTTCAAAAGTATTTTCCACAAAGGTTCATTTGGTAAATAATTATTTGGTCAAAAGTTGGAAAATCAATTAAGGTCAGTTTGTGTGTTTTTTATTGGTGAATACCATCTATATATGCAATCAGAAATTGTCACAACAATTGATGTTACAGATATTAACTGCTCAACTATGTATATGTTTGGTAATGTCAATATAAGCAGTGGACAATTACAAGCTATCAGTTTGATACTGATTGTTAATTCTAAATGACCATTTAAGTGTAAAAATGAATTAAAACAACTTAGTTAGTAACTGCTTATATACGGAATTAATTCTGAGATCAAGTTTGATTTGAGACGATGAGCTATATTAACATAAGTGTTACGTGGTAGGAAAGTCCAGTTGTATCAAGCCCAACAACTTCATATTAAATTAAACGTGAATGAATGTGTATTTTACTGGAGCCTGATCAGTTGGAATCCAAGAACACGTGTATAAATGTGTATTTTACCTGAGCGTGATCAGTTGGGGTCCCAGAACACGTGTATAAATGTGTATTTTACCTGAGCATGATCAGTTGGAGTCCCAGAACACGTGTATAAATGTGTATTTTACCTGAGTGTGATCAGTTGGGAGTCCAAGAACACATGTATAAATATGTATTTTACCTGAGCATGATCAGTTGGAGTCCCAGAACACATGTATAAATATGTATTTTACCTGAGTGTGATCAGTTGGGGTCTCGGAACATGTGTATAAATGTGTATTTTACCTGAGTGTGATCAGTTGGGGTCTCGGAACACATGTATAAATGTGTATTTTACCTGAGCGTGATCAGTTGGGGAGTCCAAGAACACATGTATAAATGTGTATTTTACTGGAGCGTGATCAGTTGGAGTCCCAGAACACATGTATAAATGTGTATTTTACCTGAGTGTGATCAGTTGGGAGTCCAAGAACACGTGTATAAATATGTATTTTACCTGAGTGTGATCAGTTGGGGTCTCGGAACATGTGTATAAATGTGTATTTTACCTGAGTGTGATCAGTTGGGGTCTCGGAACACATGTATAAATGTGTATTTTACCTGAGCGTGATCAGTTGGGGAGTCCAAGAACACATGTATAAATGTGTATTTTACTGGAGCGTGATCAGTTGGAGTCCCAGAACACATGTATAAATGTGTATTTTACCTGAGTGTGATCAGTTTGAGTCCCAGAACACATGTATAAATGTGTATTTAACCTGAGTGTGATCAGTTGGGAGTCCAAGAACACGTGTATAAATGTGTATTTTACCCGAGTGTGATCAGTTGGAGTCCCAGAACACGTGTATAAATGTGTATTTTACCTGAGTGTGATCAGTTGGGAGTACCAGAACATGTGTATAAATGTGTATTTTACCTGAGCGTGATCAGTTGGAGTCCCAGAACACATGTATAAATATGTATTTTACTGGAGTTTGATCTGTTGGGAGTCCAAGAACACGTGTATAAATGTGTATTTTACCTGAGCGTGGTCAGTTGGAGTCCCAGAACACATGTATAAATATGTATTTTACCTGAGTGTGATCAGTTGGAGTCCCAGAACACATGTATACATGTATATTTTACCTGAGCGTAATGAGTTGGGGTCTCGGAACACGTTTATAAATGTGTATTTTACTGAAGTGAGAATCAGTTGGAGTTCCAGAACAAGTGTATAAATGTATTATATAATGTTTGCATTTATAATTATCGTGAAAAACATTGGTTATTAATATTTTACCTGAACATGTCAAGTTATTGGACTTTTTACAACTGGATGAGGTTTCCTAATGGACGTTTGGTCAAGCTCTTAGGTCCAACTCGGATTGTTATGAGCTAATATTGTTAACAATAACTTCCATATTAAGATTCAAAATAAAGTGATAAAAACAAAGAAAATTGAGTGTAAAGGGTTCAGTGTCTACTATAGAACAAGGGAGATAACTCTCACAGAAATCAAACTGTAGCATGTAAGGTAAGGTGTGTAGTATTTATTCATAAGGGAGATAACTCTCATAAATATCACAGGTGTAAAGTGATTAAATAATTACAGGTATAATGTGTAATGTAGCATGTATCCTTAAGGGCAACCCTAACAAATAATGACAGGTAAAATCTGTAATGTAACATGTAGCCCTAACAAATAATGACAGGTAAAATGGGTAAGGTAGCATGTATCCTTAAGGGAGACAACCCTAATAAATAATTACAGGTATAATGTGTAAGGTAGCATGTATAATCCTTAATGGAGAAAACTCTAACACAGATCACAGGTGTAATGTGTGAGATAGTATATAACTTATAATATACATAATAATAATCCAGAAAAGAACTTATTCAGGAATTTTTGATAAACAAGTTTCCACTCTACACAAAAAGGGGGTGCAGAGTCCAAATGAGCCTGGATACTGAATAGCTATGATGTCGGGGGCACAGCCATTTTTGTTTTGTTTGATGTGGTTTGAATTTTGTGATGACTGTTGAGGAGATGTGACACTACCTTCAAAATATGCAATTTGATGATGAACCCAGTCACTCCTGTACAGCACCAGTGTTAGAAACCATGGAGTGTTGTGCACCTAGGGTTTGATTAGAGAGTGTGTGTTGATTTAGGCTGCCGTACACTTGTAGGTACATGTGGCAGACTGGACATTTTTTATTTATATACTTTTTAAGAATTCACATATTTATTGCATTCATGGAACAGTGAAACCTGCCTTTAACCCTTGCACCACTGTAGACCATAATGAACGCATCCCAATAAATGCATGGATGAGTCCACTAAAGTTACCTAGGGGTGAAAAGGGTTAAACAGTACCCTTCTAATGGACATCTCTTTAATGGACAATTCTTTACAGTGAACATCTGTCTATAATGAACTTCTGTCTATAGTGGACATTTGTATATAATGAACTTCTGTCTATAGTGGACATTTGTATATAATGGACTTGTGTCTATAGTGGACATTTGTATATAATGGACTTGTGTCTATAGTGGACATTTGTATATAATGGACAATTGTTTACATAATTAACCTAGGAAGGAAGAGAAACTCTTTAGTTAAGAGGTTTCTAGCCGAATTTTCACACATGTACAGAAAATGTGACCCTATACTGAAGGTATTACTAGCGGGATTTACATACAGAAAGTGTGACCCTATACCTAAGGTGCTCCTGGCAGGTTTCACATGTATAATATGTTCTATAGTATCTTCCTTTTGCTGTATCACTTTGTATTTTTCTGTTATCTAACTAATGAATCTGGAATCTAATCGATAAAGAATATTTTTGAAAATATCCATGTGAAAAGAAAATATTCCTGATTTTCATCAAGTATTTATTCTGGTTAAAAAATAAATAATTAAAAAGAGATTTATGTCCAGCCAGATGATCTCTGAGATTTAGAATACAAGCCGTCACATAAGAAGGAGGAGGAGGAGGAGGTCGGGAGGGGCCCCTCAAGATTTACAGTTTTATAGATATGTAGTTTTCTACCTGTTGCAGCCTGGTCAGGGTGTGTCCTGATGTATTTAACCCGTCCCAATGTAGATATATCACCGACTCATAGTCTTGGTAGTCTTTTAGTGTCGAACCCAACCTGCTGCATGTTCAAGCTTCTCATACAACCACCGATGATTCATTTTATTTGTACTGCAAACTTTAAAACAATTGTTTGTACCTGTCTTATTCTTTAAAATGCTTCTTTTCCCCTTCTCCCTGAGCAATACATAATGATAGAATCATTTTGTAACTAGTTATTCATAGATTTTTTTCCCTTCTGAAATTTTATCTTCCGTGAATTGACAACAAACAAATAACTACTCTAAAAGTAGAATATGGAAGTTAAACCAAGGTACTGCGACTATTTAAAATACTCAAATTTTTGAATTTCGAATGACAGAGATTTATGAGAAGGTCCTGATGAAATTTTATAAATACACATGTATATACTCCTACTAAAAATCACAAGTAATATTTAATAAAACTAAGCAGAATGATGGACAGAGTATCTGGACTGAATGTGAAATCTCTTTATGTTTCCCCAAAGTACCTGTCGGGATTATGTCCCCTGTTTGAAATCTTCAAATAAAATAAAATAAACCTGGATCAATGTTCGTTCTGCCCTTCCATTGATCAACCTATACGAGGCACTAAGATTGTTTAACGTTGTTGATATTTCTTGCATTTTGTTATAGCTCAAGTCCTGTTTACTTTAAGAGTAAACAGACTGATGTGCACTTAATGTACATGGTTTCTTTCTTTTTTTACATCAAAGCACATTTATGCATGCCGTTTTGTCGGTGTTTCATCATCGTGATTTATATTAACATGTGATTTGGTGTTGAGGGCGTGGGCTTGTTTTTTTTGTTATTTACTTGCCTTTTTACAGTGAGTTTTTTGTGTGTTAAGCTATATTGTGATAATAGTATTTATAGCACCCATCATGTAACAGTTTGTGTCAAGGTTGTCTCCCTTTATCATCAAACTGCTACCTCAGCAGTCAGAAGTTGTGTAGAGAGATACACATACTTGTTACATTTGATCATTCAGTTGATCAGAATTAGTTTGAATTTTTACTCTTTCATCTGATAAGAGTAAAACTAGTCACTTTATAAAATTAAGATTTTACATAAGGATAAACTGAGTGTCTCTAATTATCATTAACCCTTTCACCACTGTAGACCATAATGGACTCATCCAGATCAATGCAATTGGTAGAGTCTACTTAAGTTAAATAGGGATGAAAGGGTTAAACTTCATCAAAATTTATCTCAAAACATGTCAAACATATTTTGGAAAA